TGTACCCTACATAAGTGTATGTGCTAGACTTTTACATGACTGGCAGTGCAGCTGGTTTGTTTACACCAGCGTCACCACAAACAGGTGCATAATGCACTGCGCTGTGACGTTACTATGGCTGCAACATCGCTAGGAGCTTTTCAATCCATTGCAATCTTATGGGACCACCGTCAGGTATGTGGTCCACTGTTGAACGTAGCTATTTGTCACATGACCACATACTGATTCTAAAGACTTGTTCTGTTTTTTCTCTTTTTTCTGCTTCTTTGAGTGTTGGTTCTTTCTGAGTTTCGGGCTCCTCTTCCTTGGCGCTGGCTTTCCTCTGATATTTGGTGACTTCTAGCTCCGTGCACGTGGTATCTGATGATGCAGGGGTCTGGGAATGGGGCTTCTGAAACCCACCTCTGAGGGCCGTGGGGTCAGCAGTGGGGCTGCAGGAGTCTGGGGCAGACGCGCGGCCCCTGGCTTTGTGTGCGGCTTGAGCGGGTGGGGAGTGTGGCGCCAACCCACAGGCGGTCCGGTCCCCCGGCCTCCCTCTGCGGACCGGAGTAGCCCACGGCCTCCCACCTTCTCCGGCATGACCCTCCTGGCTGTGCTTTGGGCCGTGGCCTCCCTTCTCCACCCGATCTCATCCTCCTTCCACGTTTCAGGGAGGCAGCCTCCTTTCTGGTCGGCCAAGGTTGCCCCTTCGTGTTCTTCAGGCATGTTACACGTTAATTCATTATTTTTACCAGCGATATGTTTTTACTGAGCCAAAATTCATACAACATAAAATAATCTCACCATTTTAACCACGTTAAAGTGTACAATTCAGTGGTTTTTAGTATATTCACATGTGAACCACCACCACTATCTAATTCCGGAAGATTTTCACCTCCACTGAAAGAAATCTCCTACCTTCTAATTCTCTCCTCCTCCCAGCCCCTGGCAACCACGAGTCCATTTTCTGTCTCTGTGGATTTGCCCTATTGTGGATATTTCATGTAAATGAAATCATGCCAGATGTGGCCTTCAGTGACTGGCTCCTTTCGTGGGGCATAACGTGTCAAGGTTCATCTACACCGTGGCGCGTGTCAGCGCTGCATTCCCTTTTACGGCTGAATAATACCGCGTTGTGTGGTTAGGCTACGTTTTGTTTATCCACTCATCAGCTAGTGGACGTTTGGGTTGTTTCCACTTACGTTTCGGCTGTTATGAATAGTGCTGCTATCAACAGTCGCGTACAAGTCTCTCTTTTTTTTTTTTTGAGACAAGGTCTTGTTCTGTTGCCCAGACTGGAGTGCAGTGACATCTTCATGGCTCACTGCAACCTCAAACTTTTGGGCTCAGGTGATCCTCCTGCCTCAGCCTCCCAGAGTGCTGGTATTACAGGCATGAGCCACTGAGCCCGGCCACGTACGAGCCTTTGTGTGGACATAGGTTCGCAGCTCTTTTGGGTGTGTACCTAGGAGTGGAGTTGCTCATCACCTGGTAGCTCCAAGTTTAGGTTTTTTTTTTTTTTTT